TTTTGGTCTGTATGAGACTCGAAAATACTTGAGAAAGAAAATACTACAGAGTATGAGAATAGAATTTGAAAGACAGAAATTTAGGATAAAATAAAAGGTAAGCTCAAACGTAGTTAGTCTATATATGTGTTCAAACCTAACTTATCCAGGCCAGACATAATGTGTTCAAACTAAACCAAACGAAACCAAACATATCCCGGAAGTCTCACTCAAAAGCAGGGTTTGAGGAAAGTGATGTACAGGGACTTTACGTCTACCCCTAGGAGTAGAGATGGCAGTTCCCATGATCACATCTGACTAAGGAAAAGTTCGGAACATATTTACTTTATTTATGTTTCAATGATATAAACACTATAAAATCTACGTGCATATAGAATAATAAAACAAGTTAATCCCAAACCAAACAAAGAAAAACTTCCTTTAGGATTTTTTTACCAAGTATTTTCCAGAACCCAAACATAGCCTTAGGGTTTAAACAACAGTTTTTTCAGTAATTTTTTACAGAGTAAATTGTTCAATTGTAGGAGTGTGAAAAGTACCAAAACTTATGTCGACTTACACTTATGGATCAAGTGGGATCTGATGGCATTAAGAAGAGTAGGCTATTACCTAAGAATAATAAGAACTCCTCACAGCCCCCTGACATTCATCAGTCTGAAGCAACCTCAGCAGACCATTTGGATGTAAGTTCAAACACACAAAGTTTGGATATGGAATCACTCGTTATCGGTTTCAATGACCAGCACGGTAACTCGAAACCAGACGTGTTTCATCAATCCAATCTTCCAGGACAAGACTCAAGTAGCAGATTCGCGAAGCGTGTGAAATTGAGCAATCTTTACGCTTTTGGTCTTGGGACAAGGAGTACAAACGCAAAAGAAGATTTACCTCATGAGAAGCAGCACAACAGGTTTCGTGGTCAAACATGCTCTGAACCGATGGCTAGTAAAAATAAAGGTAAAGAATGGATAGTTCAAGATAAATGTACTAGTAGGAAAGGTGGCGGTGACTCTTCTTCTTCAGCAAACATGAGAGGAAAACTGACTTCATACCCGTGGATCCAGAGGTTGCTCCGTGATAAAGGAACCACCAACGGTGTTATTCCGGATGTGGTGGTGGAGGGTTATGAGGCAGGGAGTTCAGAATTGAAAGTTGAGGAAATTCAGAAGAGACATTTTCCCAGCATAGCTGCCATGGCGTTAATGGCGAAAGGCATGAAGGGGTTGCACCCTTGTCAGTTTCAGAAGAAGGGCTCTTTTGTAGTTTGGAACAATAGTGGTGGCTTATGAATAAAGAAAAGAACTTCCGGTTATGGTGCACTATTAGCGATGGTTACTCAGCGGGCCCTTGTATATTCAAGAAAAACTTCACTTATTGTCCCATGATTACTAGGTCAATCCTACTTTCTGGTTTCAGGCATTCATTTTTCCACTTCTGGTTACTGAATATGGATTTTTTTGTCATGGTTGGTCCTGATGATTCATCCAATCAATTTTTCATACAGTTTTTGATTGATTGCTGCTATGTAAATTGCTAGAAGGGGTGGAACTTGACATGGAATTCATAGTCATATCATTCATCAAAAGTGGAAAAGCAATGAAAGTTGAGGACTTAAGGTGGATTTTCCTAATAAAGGCGCGTATAGGAGTTTGCATGACCTAATAACATCTGGTCTTAGGAAGTATCTTTCTTTTTCGTTTTGGCTTCTTGTAATTGCTTGAAGGGTCCCTGAATATTCAAGCCACGGGGTGCAAAAGAATCATTATTCTGGTTATGCATTTGAGCAGCAAGTGTCTTTCTGTTCATTATTTGTACGAAGGAAATGTTTTTTACTGTGATGACTTTGAAAATGTATCATGTTGCAGTAAATATTTTTTTCTATCGTGCTTGAGAGTGTGATAGAAATCATAGAACTGATAGATATTGGATGTAGTTTTGGAAGACATAATTTTGTATTACAAAACAAGTATGACTGCATTACTGGTTGATGTTACTACGGGCTACCCTAGTTCCTGTGTTTTTTTGTAAAACAATGACGCAATGAACAGCAACGTAATGTGGTGGTACACTTTAAATTAGTAATTCAACCGTAATTCAACATATTAATTTGCACAATTTTTATAAATACACTATTAAAGTGTATTGTGAATTTATGTTTAAAGTTTAACTTATTGCTCCTAACTAAACTGGTTGATCCGAAACTTTGGGTTCTCATCAGATTGGCTATTTAACCGGTAACCATTCAGTTTTTCAGTTAGAACGTCCAGTTGGCTTATTTTTATTATTTTCTATTTTTAATACTTTTCTTTTATTTTACTTTCCTTTTTATTTTCTATTTCTTCTGCTTTGTCTTTTCTTAGTTCGCTCTGCAACTCTAGCGTGAAATACCTTCTCCTTCAATTTCTCCCTAGCAGCAGGGGCCGCCTGGCCCTGTATGTCTGAGGGCCTATGGGCGAAAAATTAAAATGGATCTAATGTTACAAAAAAAATGTTACAAAAAATTGTAGAACCATTTTCTATCTAAAGTGACATGTATAATAATAATATTTCAAGACATTAATAAAAAATTGTAACACCCTATATTTTGTCTAAATAAATCTTATTGTATTAATGATCCTTGTTTAGGAAGGAAACAATGGTTATCATATTTTTACACTTTACCAATGTTTAAGTCATATTTAAGGAATTAACTCTATTATTATCATCTCTTAAATTTTCCCTCCAATGATGTAATCATTCTGAATTATTAAATTTTTAGGAGCTAAATTATTTTTCTTCTATGAATTCTCATCTTGAAGATGACATTCAGAATTTAACTCCTTTACACAAACAAAATTTTCAATTGAATTTGTTTTACATAGCGCGTTCTCTAATCTACCCCTCTTTTTTATTTATCCTTTTCAGATTCAATCCTTTTGATTACACATTAAAATTAATTAAATTTATAAATTTCATCACAATTGAAAATAAAATGTTTGTCTAACAAAATCAAGTGAAGATTAAGTCCATAAAATTTCAGCTTAAAATTCGATTGGAAGTCAGTTAAATAAATTATTGAAAAATAATACGCAAAAACATGTATAAAAACACAATGTTTTTCAATAATTTATTTAACTGACTTAGCTTCACGATTGAACTTTGAACTGATTTTTTTACATAATTCACACTTCATAGAGAACATGATAATAAGTTTTCACCAAAGAGAATTCATTTCGATGAACTTCAACAAATTTCACCCGGAAAAATGTTAGTTTAGGGCTGAAAAATCAACCTACTCACACATAATACAAAGTACTAAATTTGGGCCTATTTTTTATCCACTTTTTTTTGGCCTAGGGCACCCGCCCCGCTTGCACCCCCTAGGGCCGCCCCTGCCTAGCAGATGTGCCGGTTAGTGAAGGTTGGGGACTTGGGGTGGAGAGGTTGCTTGACTGAATGAGGTAGAGTTAGAGGCAGTAGGAGCGGCAGAGGTTGGCTATGGAGGTCCGGGCAGTTTGAGGTCGCTTTTCCTTCAATGGAGGAGGCGGAGCTGTAGGCCGCGGAAGTGTTGGCCGGAGTCTATGTGTATGGAGGTAGGGGTAGAGGAGATGTGATGGAGACCGGAGGCTAGTGGTGGACTTGGGTCGGGCCACCCGGCCCGTGAACCGTCCCGGCCCGCTAATATGCGGGCCCGGGATCGGCCGGTTCACCGGTCCGGGTACCGGGCTTTGACCCGGTCCTAGGGGGAGACGGTTCCGGGCACAGTTCTTCCAAAATGAGACTCGGCCGGGCGCGGGCCCGGTTCGGGCCGAAATCAATTTTTTGTTTTTTGTTTTTTCTTTTTAATTCCAACGGGTTGGGCTGAGTGTTTTGGGGGGGGTTTGGGAGGGGGGTCGGGGGTTAATTAGAAAAAGAAAAAAAAAATATATAAAGAGGCCCGAGGCCCGGCCCGGACCGGACCCGACCCGGCCCGAATCCACCCCTGCCAGAGGCGGTGGCTATGGAGACCGGGTCGGCAGTGGGAGTGATGGCTATGGAGACTGAGCCGGCGAGCCATCAGTGAGGGTGATGGCTATGGAGACCGAGCCAACAGAGATATGTCCAATTGGAGGTGGCGGAGGCGGTAAGAATTGTGGAATTGAATGAAAGTGGCCGGAGGTGGTCGGAATTGAAAGAAATGGAGAAGCTATGCGGAGCCTAACACCAGCGGGGAAAGGAGAAGAAGCAGGAACGGACGAGGAAGAAGAAGAAATAGAAAGAAAGAGAAAAAGAATGGAGAAATTAAAAAAGAAAATTATAAACATACGAAAACAGTAAAAAAATGTGAGTTGGAATATCCACGTAGCCATTTAACCCGGTAACTGTTTGCTTACCTGATAAATAGCCGATTTGGTCATTTTTTATTACATTGTGGACTTAATTGACTCGTAAAAAATTGTGTGGACTTATTTGACTTTTTGTTAAAAGTAAGTGAACCTCTTTGACAGTTTTTCCTTATAATTAAAAGAATTACGGAGTACATATTTTCTTTGTAGGCCATCTCAAAATAAAAGTTATATTTCCATTTTTGTCAAACACTCATCATATACTCCGTATATATATACAATCTCACTTTTTACTTTTACCTTCCTTTTAATTTTAGTTACACCCTACCCTTACCCTTGTTTCACCGCTCTTGCTCATATTGCATCCAACCCTCAATCACTCATATCCATCGTCTCACTATTTCGTTTATCCCTCATCACTCCATAGTCCATACATCTCTCTTCTCACCTTGCTCGTATCTCTGTCCTTACGTACACGTTGTTAAATCCATCTCCTTGGTGCACACATTTTTGTGCCCCGCAGTTTATCAAATTTCCGCATTTTTAGACGAATTGGCTATGCACAAGGAACAAATAAGAGTCGTGTATAAAAACATGTACAGAACATGTACAAAAAGAATTTGTCATACATACATATACATGCATATTTGTAATATCGTAGTATATAGTACGTTTTTTTTTTGTATAGAACAAGACTAATTATGAATTAATCGTAGTATATAGTACGTAGTATTATGTATGTGTGTGTATTAGTGTATACTCTATACTACTATAAATGAGATATGACTTGATTCCAAATGCTAAGGTTATTTTATATGACTGTTCCGTCTTTGATGATTGCTTTCTCCATCAGAATAGTAATTCCTGATCTAATATAGAATCCTTCATCTGGCCTGTCTGCTTCTTCAACACCCTGTGTACCCAACCACATTATATGTGCACCATATACATTAACCAACAACAACCTCTGCCCTTTTCATTTAATTCAACTGAAAACACGTTCAAGTAAGATTCATATGGTTTTTTTTTTACAAATATAATCAACTCACATCTGTGTTCTTGATGATCACATCCTTCCCTATTCTTACATTCTTGTCAATGATACAGTTGCTACATGAAAAGTAAAAGGGTATGTTAAGAATCAGCAAAGAAAATAGAAGTCATGTTATGCGCACTACCAAAAAACTTCGGTATAGGCACGGAAATTTGGCTCGGATAAACTCCCAATCAGGTTTGGCTCGGAATTTGGATCGAAAACCTTGAAACACGGGACTGTGACAGATTTGGCTAAAAAAAAACCACCCAAAATGTGGATTTTAATATTCCGAGACAAAATCCGTGCCAATCCCGATAAATTGTAAAACGGGTTCGCCGGTGACGTATTCCGTCCCAAAAACCGTCACAATTTGTGTCGGAATAATTTCCGTGCCAAAATAAAAAACACAATTATTTTGATTTGGCTCGGAAGTTTCCTAGCCAACATGTACCGAGCCAAAATCCTAGTCAATTGTTGAACCAAATATTAGTCATTACGCGTTGACAACAACCTCGAGCCAAATTCCATGCCAACAAAGTATCCGTTGGATTCCTCGAATATTTCCCGAGCCAAATGTTGAGTCAAAAATAGCCGTTGCTAATTCAAGCCAAAATCGAGCCAAAATCCGTGTAAAAAAAGTAGTCGTTTGCTTCATTGATTTTTTATCCGAGGCAAATATTGCTTCAAAAATAGCCGTCATTACACTTTGGCGACAACCTCAAGCCAAATTCCGTGCCAACGAAGTATCCGTTGGATTCCTCGAATATTTCCCGAGCCAAATGTTGAGTCAAAAAATAGCCGTTGCTAATTCAAGCCAAAATTGAGCCAAAATCCGTGCCAAAAAAGTAGTTGTTTGCTTCATTGATTTTTTATCCGAGGCAAATGTTGATTAAAAAATAGCCGTTATTTTATTCGAGCCGAAACCGAGCCAACTTCCGTGCCAAAATTTAGACGTTACATTTCCGAGCCAATTTCGAACCAAATCCGTGCCAAAATCATCTATATATACACCTAGTTTTTGTAAAGTAAACTACATCTTACAAAACTATACACGCATTCTATACTTCATTGTGCCTTGCTCGAAGACTATTTTCAGTGATGAATTCTCAATGGAAGTTTTGTACTTAATTTGGATTTCTTATAATTGGTATCACCGTTTTATCAGGTATGCAATTTTATTATTAGTGCTTTTAAATTAATTTCATATGTATCTCTGATTTATTATTATGTGTGTTTTAATAATATCAATGGTATGTTAGTGATATGTTTTAATTAAAACCTTAACTAGTGTATGCTACTGAAATTCCGTTTCCAAATGTAGTTGTTGATTTCCGATACATTTTCCGTCCCAAAAGTATCCGTTATTTACGGAAAATTTGAAATTACATGCCAAAAACTTTGCCAAACAATTCTATAAATAAGACACGTCTGATTACGCATTCATTCATTACAATGAGTTGATAATAAGTAGTGATGAATTTCCAAAAAAAATGGAAAGTGGTATTCTTTTCTATTTTGGATGTGGTTGAAATATTTATATTTGGATTTCTTAAACTAATTATTGTCAACGTATAAGGGACATAACATTTCTGTTTTAACTTAAAATTAATATATCATGCATGTGTTGAATTATGATTATTATGAATGAGCTTATACGCATGATTGTAATTTGAAGGTTTACTAGTTAAATGTACTAGCTTATTCAATAAATAAATAATTTCTTAATTTTTAATATTCAGGCACAATGAATAGAGAAAATAGAAATTAGATGTATAATCAATATGTTGGCAATACTAGAGGATTGACACAAGAGTTTAAGAATGGAGTTACTGAATTTGTTAAGTTTGCACAACAACAAACACGGTACATGGATGGAAATAAGATAAGATGTCCATGTAAAGTGTGTAAAAATAACAAATTTTTGCTGGGTGAGGACGTGTGTTGGGATTTATATACTCATGATTTTATCGAAAACTAATACAATTGGACTTCTCAAGGAGAACCAATCGAGAAATGTTATTTGCCTCAAGCTGTGGGAACATCTTACTATGTTCCCGACGAGATGGCTGCCTGGGGAAATTATGAAGATATGGAATGGGGTCAAAAAATGCTTTATGATTTGGTCGGTTCTTCTGCATTTCACAATACCTATCCAAACACCTATCCGAATAATGATTTCACCACACACAGTAATGCGGGTGAGGGACCAAGTTCATATTTTTATGATGTTGATGCGTTAGTCACTAGATTTCAAGATGTTCTTAAAAGTGCGGATCAACCATTGTATTCTGATTGCGATGGTCATTCGCAGTTATTAGCGGTTTCTGAATTTTTGAATATAAAGTCCGAATATAATCTGTCTGAGAATTGCATGTCCAAGATACTTGACTCAGTTGGTAGCATGTTACCACGTGATCATTGTCTTCCCGACAATTATTACAACATGAAAAAATTCGTGTCTGAATTGGGTCTTCCTATGATTAAAATCCATGCATGCCCCGGAGGATGCATGTTATTTTGGAAAAATGACGAGGGATTGACCCGTTGTAAGTTTTGTAATGAGGATAGGTACAAACCTATCTCAGAAATGAGCCACAAACCACGAAAAAGATTTGCAGCATCCAAATTGTTATATTTGCCTTTAGCACCACGTTTACAAAGATTGTATGCGTCAAGTGCTACCGCTAAATACATGACGTGGCATGTAGAGCATGACACAGAAGAAACATTAATGTGTCACCCATCTGATTCAGATGCATGGAAGCATTTGGACCGATGTTATCCTGAATTCGCTTCCGAACCACACAACGTTCGTCTTGGGTTGTGTGCTGATGGTTTTGCCCCATATGGTCAATTTGGCGGATAGTTCTCATGTTGGCCAATTATCATCACACCGTATAATCTGCCTCCAGACATGTGTATGAAACAACATTTTATGTTTTTATCGTTAATGTGTCCGGGACTAGGTAATCCTAAGAAACGAATTGATGTGTATCTACAACCATTGATTGAAGAGCTGAAACAACTATGGGATGTAGGTGTTCCTACATATGATGTTACGACAGAGCCGATACTTAATTTGAGAGCTACGGTTTTATGGACAATTAGTGATTTCCCAGCATATGGAATGTTATCCGGTTTTTTGAAAATTTTTCCGAGCCAAAACCGAGCCAAACCCGTTAGTCTGGGAATATTCCGAAGGATTCCGAGCCAAATTCCTTGCCTATAGCGAATTGTTTTTGTAGTGGCGAGAGTTGTTTGATACAAATGGTTGGGTTTTCTAATGGGAAAAGCGTTCTAAAATTGTTTTCAGCCAAATAAGTAGCTCATAGTCAGATTATTTTGTTGATAACAAGAATAAGTTCAAAACCTGATATTATGACAACCAAACATCTTCATAGTGTTGATGTTTAAATTTTGTCGGTGCCTGGTATTGTTTATGATTTTATTTGATCAAATAGATGGTATATTTTGTGTAACTTAATTTGCTTAAATATAGTGAATCTAAATACTTTGGTTTTCTAGTGAATTGCACATATATTAAGAAAAAAGTTCTATTAACTTCCTGAAAATGCTCATTTACTAATTAAGGAGAAAAGAATTATATTTAGGTTCACAAAAAGTGGAAATTTTATTTAGGGAGGGAGAGAATGAGTGTGTTTGCATTTAGCGGTTATGGGTTAGCGGATACCGAGTTATGTTGGCGGGTTGTCAATAGCGGATTCACTCACCGAATTTGACTGACGGAATAAGTTGGCAGGTTACATAAAAATGTTGGTAATTTAGCTGTTTGGACATAAAAATTATTAGAAAATGACATATTTCAAAACGCTAACTCAAAACTCTCTTATTTGCAGCGTTTTCATTTCAGCGATTCTATCCAAAAACGCTATGACAGAACAACTATTTGCCAAAGATCGTTTTCATTTGTTGAAAATGCTAAGATTGGTGAAAGTGTTTTTTTTTTTTTTACCGAAATGCCATTTTCCATATCCCCGATATAATGTTGTAGCACTGTAGCTTGGGAGCTTCCTAATATTGAAAAGTACAACCCTCCAGAAAAGCTTTTATAATCTTGGAAGTGGTTAAATGTGGTTTTCCTCCTAGTTAAGAGCATCTCCAATGCAAGGGTGTGGTCTCTTACACACCCTTACACATGGGTCCCATTTTTTATCTCACAAATTTTATGTGTAGGACCCACATATTTCCCAATTTATTTTCATTTTCATTTTTTTATATCACTTTTAACCCACTTTTCATCAACTTTTCCTCCTCGAATCCCGTGTAAGGTCCATATATGGACCTTGTCATAGACCTTGGTCCATTTTTACCTCTATCTCTCTCCTCTTTTTCATTTTTCCCTGCACACCACCTCATCCCAATATTTATTCTATCTCTATCTCTCTCCTATGCCACATCAGATGCAATGCACCTTCCCATTGGAGATGCTCTAAGGGAAGGAGCGGAAAAAAGTACTCCACATGGTGGGGGTACACCTTTAATTAGACATTTAATCTCCGTACTTGAAAAGTACTCCACATGTATGATGAGCTTTTAATTCAAGTTAGGCTTTTACCTTATTTTTGAATTTTGCCCAATCCCAATTGGTACATCTCCATTGCCAAGAAGAAACGCAATCTCAGATTCTGTCTCGTAATAATCTGCCCCCATCATCAGCGACTCCTGATGGGTTAGAAAATACAATAGTATAAAAATTAAAGGTAGATTAATGAGAATGATGCATTTGAATTATTTAAATCTAAATTAAAAAAGGATATAATGATTTGGACCAATCAAATTCATGATAGTACGGTACCTCATTTTTTAAATTGGTACCGAATTTGTCACCAAAATTAAATTGGGGAAATTGCTTGCAATATATGGCCTAAAGAATCGGTGATTCCCAGGGGCGGACCGTAGTACAGACCCAGGGGCGGGCGCCCCCACAACAACAATTTTTTTTAGTATATATATATATATATATAATAAAAAATAATTTTCGCCCTCTCAAAAAATATTTTGTTTAAGTTAACGCCCTCCCAAGACAAACTTCCTGGGTCCGCCCCTGGTGATTCGTAATAAATGTCTAACTAGTTTTTTATTTTTGAATTAACGGTGTTTTATATGTATGAATGTATGATCCTTATTTTGATATTATTTTCTCTCTCTTCAATTCAATGATTACCCGTATAAATGTATACTTAAATTTACTTAGTCATAAATTACGAGTGTGAATAGAATAAATTCCACTTTTTGTCCACGAGTATTGCACCAATTTCATAATTGGTCCATGTCTTTGACTACTTTTGGTACATGACTATTGCTTTTTCGCCCATATATGGTCCTTCCGACAACTATTCCGGTGGTTAAAATAAACGCAAAAGGACAACAAATGGTCAATAAACATTAGTCAAGTACTAAAAGTGGACAAAATGAAAGACATGGACTAAATGTGGAAATGACATAAAACTCGTAGGATCAAAAATGGAATTATTTCGTGTGAATATGCCACTTAAAAGCCAATTTGGTAACGTAACACTTAAATTGATTGAATCGACCGATTATGCAGAAATTTTTAAAGATATAATTCAAGTAGTGTTATACTATACTCCCTCCGTCCCCTTTTAAATGTCCCGGAAGAGGGTGACACGAGTTTTAAAAAAAGTGGGTTTGTGTGGTTGATATTAATTGATAAAGTAAGAATAAAGTAAGAATGATTTTGAGCCACACAAATTTACCAAATAAGGTACAAGACAATTAAATAAGGACATCCCAATATGATAAAATGGGACATTTAAAAGGGGACGGAGGGAGTACTTTTCTAATCTCTTGCCTTGAGGTTAACGCCGTGATCCAAGCGGGACCGCTCACCAACAATGGAGTGTTCCACGACACACTCCCGCAAGAAACAACCATGGGAGATTATGGCATTCTTAATCTACACCACACCACACGTTTAAATGTTATTAAAATTAGTGAAAATTGAGGTCAAAGTTAGCCCCTTTCAATGATTGAAGAAGATAATGCTGCGTGTCTAAGGTCATTGGGAATTAAATGTATCGGTAAATTGATTTATAAATAATTATAGTTCAATCATATATAAGCAAATGAATAAATAAAATGAATTACATTTAATTACAATTTAATGTTTGTGCTGGTTTTACCTTGCAATAATCGATTTTGGTTGGTGGTAGTAATCGTGGAGATGTGTAGAAAGGTGTTCTGGGATCATAAAACTCAAACTTGGGAAACTGCAACATACAAATGGCAACTTAGGAAAAATAAATTGGACAAAGGGTTAAATAAGTGCTTTTACTATTGTCAAAAATCATATAAGAACTATCATATAAATGTATTTACTTGTGAAAAACAATCAAATAAATCAAATGACCGGAAAACAACCTCATATATCAGGTTATTGCATTTTAACTTTTTTTCCTTCTCTTTTTTTTCTTCTCTTGGTGCACAGTACACCTTCAGTTTTTATTTGTCAGTTTCCTTTTTCATTTTTTTCCTTGATCTCAAATTCTCAATCTAAATCCTATGTTCTCCACTTCTCGCTGCACGGTTTTATCATCTTTATTTTTCATTTTCTTCATTTCTAATGATTTGTAACGCTTTGTATTTTCTCCAAGTTTGCAACAATTTTTATTTTTAGTTTTATCTTCTTTTTCCCCTTGTTTCTTTTTTATTTGTTGTCTTCTCCCAAGAAATATTATTTTACATTCATTTCTAATGATTTCAATAAATTATACTGAATCATAAATATGTTCATTCTTGGAAAAAATAAAATCCAATTGTTAATAAGATTCTTTTATTTGAGTGAAATTACACTTTTACTCCTTCAATTATTACTTATATTGAAATCAAGTATTACTATAAAATTGAACTAACACTGATAAGTATTTGTAATTTTCTTACAGTTAAGATTGCAACTTTAAATACGGTAAAAATTATTCATTTTTCGTACAATTTTTATCAAACTCTAAGGTTAGGCCATACGACAAAAAATGTCAGTCATAAAATTCAAATTTTATAGACAATAATAGTGTGAGCCAGACAAAAATGTCACATTGTATACTTTTTTTTTTAATTTAAAAAACTAATATTTACATATTTAATCGGCAAAAGCGGATTCTTCAAATATTTTGTGTGTATGTCTAACTTAACAAAAAGAAATTATTGGTACAAAAGATTATGTCATGTAAAATTAGATTATTTCGACCAATATTTTTTATCTGTCACCTAAGTGCGGAAGCATTGTTATTTTTCGACCAATATTTTTTATCTGTCGCCTAATTTTAATGCGAAAAATTGTTAATGCAAAAGATTTTGAAAATGTGTACAAAAGTATGTGTGTAGGCTATTGGAGGGATGCAAAGAGAGGCAACACATGTTTTTAATTTGACTAAAAAATCTTGGTATTGTCTATTTAAATTATGTCTGATCTAATCTAGTAAACATTTGATTTATGTATATTTCATTATTATCTAAGTCTAGTATGGTACTATGTATGGTGTATTTAAACCTGATGCGTCGTCTTGTTCGGGTTGAAAATAGTTTTATTCCGATAAAGAAGAAGAGAAAGAAAAAGCTAAAAATAAATAAAAAGAAAAATGGAAATGAGGAATAAAAGAGAAATAAAAATGAAAAAAAATTAGGAGAAAATACAAAATAAAAGTGACAATTAAGATAAAGAAAAAAGAAAAAAAATTACTTCATAGAATGTGGGTAGGAAAGGAGGGAAACAGTTGGAAGAGTGTGATGTGAAGTAAAGGAAAATGAAAAAAATGTGGATGACATGATATTACGTTGTTAGTAGCTCAATTGGCCTAATTGATGGGTTTTTGATAGTAAATGTGTCTATGTGATGTTTTTTAGTAGATGGACTTAGGTGATGATTTTGCATTAGTAAGAGGGTTTATTTGATCCTTTTTCCAAATAAATTTAATGCTTCAAATAGTTTCGTTTTACGGTTTACACTATATTCGTAACATTTTTAGTTTCCACTCCCTTCATATCATGAGCAAATATGAAGGTTTCGAGAGTATATTTTGACATTTTCCTTAAACCGGTGAGTAAAGTTACTTTGGAAGAGAATTGACTCATGATCACCTCAATGTAAATTTTTAACATAATTAATGTTCACCAAAATTACTATTATGAATTTATGATATCCTAAGTACTCTCCGTATTTTTATGTTTGCTACAATAGGTGTTGACACATTTTTTAAGAGTGAAATAGTATGGGTAATGAATAGTGTAGAAAAAGTAGGAGATATGGTGGAAAACTATGAAAGAGAAGATAAAAAGTAGAAAAAGTAAGATGATTGACTATTTTAATGGAAAAATTTACCATAAAGGGAAAATGTAGCAAATTTTTGAATACATTCAAAAATGGAAAGTGTAGCAAACAAGAAAATACGGAGGGAGTATAAAAAGTAGCACACTGTTTTGTTTTATACGTAGTATTAGTTTGGTCATAGAGCAAACTTAATTTTGAGGTCAACTTATTACAAAAAGGACATTTTGAAATAAAACTTGTTTTCAATCACAGAGTCATACTCTTGTCAAAAAAAATCAGAGTGGTACTTGAACTTTTTTAGTACTAAGATGCTTAAACATAACAATAAGTATAGGGTTATATGCATTTTCAAAATATATTCATATGTGACATTTACTTGTCGGATGTTGAAAAGGATAATCATTTTTCAACACACAGTAAGTGAATATATGTTACATATGAATGTAACTCGAAAATGTAAGCAAAAAATGTTCTCACCTCTTGTGTGAGGGCCAAGTTTGCTTTGTAGAAAGATTTTAGTGTCCCTGTGTCTTCCCAATAGTCTCTGAAGATGTAAGCCTGTATAAATATTTCAACACACATCAATAAATGGTTTTATACCCCACTCACACATGCATAGATTAAGAAAACAAATTATCAAATTTATCTCTTAGGAGGTAAATTTTTTATTATAAAAACGTACATCTAATTTGGATCTGAGTTGGATAAGACTCTTAGGCACATGAAGCATATGCCATATGACCCTCCATTTTATGTTAATTAAACATATTCTATTATTCTTCCTACAATATTACTAAAACAAAACCCACACGGATAGCTCAATTGGAGGTAACTGCTCCTGTGTGTTGGGCTGGACTTTTGGTGCGCCCGAGTATAATTAAGGTCCTATCACCATTAGGATTGATTGAGTCATCGTGATTTATAACCTCTCATATACTCTGTCGGATCGAGCGGGAGCCTTGGGGTTGGGGATTCAACCGTTTTGGACAACTAAAGCAAAACAAACAACCATATGATTGCATAGTCACTTCTATTATGACAATCACTCTGTAAATAATACCATGATTGATCACTATGTTTTAAGAGTCACAATATTAAAAATTGTTGTTACTATTTCATTAAAAATTATTGTATTACGCAATAATTACAATTAAAGTTAAATAGAGACATGGGAAATGGTGCTTTTTCCCCTACTTGAACATTGTGGTCATGGATAACTGCAGGAATGATTTCTGACTCAAAGTCATTTGCTGTGGGGTATCTCCAGCTTAACAGCTTCATCAGAATATCTCTCTTAAACACATATAATCCCATTGAAGCAATATATGGATTCCTTTTGGCTTCTTCAGGAGACAATCCTATGAGACTGGTGTCCACTTGCTGCCATGAAACATAAGTTATTATGTAATCAGCAACCAGAAAAATGGGTTTTGAAATGGGATTTGTACCTACCATTTCTTTTAACCTCGCGTCTTCGGGTTTTTCGTTGAACTGGACAACTTTGCCCTTGTGGTCAATTTTCACCAGCCCAAAGTCTGCTGCTTGGCTGATAAAGCCAAATCAATAGCATACGTGACACTAAAGTAGACTGTTTATTTCCAATGTGACTTTACAAAGTAGATCTTTATCTCTTTCTCTATTTCTTTGTTGTATATCCTGTTGGGCAAGACTAAATTCTGGGGGATTTAGGCTATTTTTCTTAATTTTAAAAAGCAAGCTAAAGAAAATATCATCTAGAAATCGAAGGCTCATGTGTTAAAAAAAATCAAGCTACCAAACCAGCATTTGATAGAACATGGAAAGCGAAAGTTATTCTAAAGTTTACTTAAGTATGGAAGAGATACACTTCTTATATAAGCTACTAAAAATACACCATTGAACACACTGCATTATCAATTCTCAGGTGTAAGTTCCATACCTATCCCCAACTGGTGCACAAGCAAGGGTAATATCGGAATTGCAATCAATGTGTTTCTGTAAAGGCAAAGGAAAAGATAAATAGAGAGAGATGTGCATACTATTTAGCCTTTTTGAGGAGTATTGATAATGAAACATGTTACTTTCATAATCTAAAAACAACAAACCTGCACTAAGTCCATATAGTCCATCCGGTAAAGTTGATCACCAGGCACAATAAGTATATTATCAATGTCCTTGTTCCTCACATCCTGCATTAATTATTTTCACTCTTAGGCTCAAAATCCTAATAACCAGATTCTCAAAAATCCTACTCTCATTCTTCTTAATAACGGCCACTCTAGATAAAAATCTTGTTTTCAGATAAGCATCGCCTTTTTTGAAAATATCTTATATCGAAAACTCAGACACACAATATCACTTAACAAGGCCGACTAGGCCATAAGCCCATACGGGCATAAGGCACTTGAGCACCTCAAATACCCAACTAAATTTCCTGACAGCATCAGCTGACCCTTGAAACCATTTCATTCCTGCTTCTCCTGATGTCTGAGTTGCTGCTAAAACCTATATAGGCACATTTTGTCAGTCAATAAGTAAACTTTTAAAGCTGAAATTAGGGGAATTGAGCATAGCTAGAGGTTTGAAACCTCTACAAACCCATCGCCCAAGCTCACACCATTTCCGAAGTAGGTGCGTGCAATGTGACGGTTGAGAGGCGCAGAATTGAATTGGGTCGACACGAAGATCTTGTTGATTCCACTGTTAATGCAATTGCTCATTGGGAAGTCAATCATCCTATAGCATCCTCCGACCGGGACCTATATATTGTTAAGCCATTCCACATCAGGAAGCAGTAAAATTAGAAAGCCAACATGTGAGGCTTTAGACTACCACTTTTATGAGGTTGAGCTAATCAAATCTGAAATCTTAATACACATCATGCCGAATAGAAGAATCAGTTCTTTGAACAATCATGAAGAGCAACATAAAAAAACATCAATTTTTCAACCACAAGTAAGAAAAGATATGATAAAAACTATGCATGGACATGAGGGAAACACAGAAAAATCTTACAGCAGCAGTTGCAGTCCTATTCGTAAGCGGGAATAACTGGGTCCCAGCACCCTCTCCCAGTATGAATGCAGCCACATTTTTAGGGTTTGCTATAGCTCTCTCCATTCCTGGTGCTTCAACACTCTAAATGACAGCACATGATCCAGTAAGATTCATTCAACGGATCACAACGCACCGTGTGATCAAGAATGCCTAAATAACTGAGGATTTTAATGTTAAATAAATGCCCAAAACCTCGTGTTTTAAAGTGATAGTTGGTTTTGTATTGATTTGGAAAAGAGCCAAACACAGCCATATCGATTTCTACCAATTCTATGCAAGTATGCATTAAGAAAATGAGAAGCAAACGTGAAATAACTACAGAACGACAACACAGTAGCTTTACCATCTTTTATTTTATTGGTTTGCAAGACTATGTTTTACTTTGTTGAATTTCAAAATGAATTGTTGTTAATGATAAAAACTAATTTAATTATCTTATTATTTGAAGGCGAAATTTTCCTCCATTCCTACTTCCTTAGATAGTTATGATTTACCAGATTTGACTGAAGTAAAGTTAAATCTCTTAAATTTACACACACAAAAACTAGACTATTGGAGTATGCTAAACTTGATTTTGAGTAAAACCTGAGTGCGTGAATAGTAAATTGACACTCCTTTTAAAGAGGAAGGGAGCAACTTTAATAAATGAGAGTATGAGACCAGTAAACAATAAAAATGGTTAAAAACATACCATAGTATCATTGCCATTTCCTCCGGAGAGAACAGAGAAAGCAAATCCTGGTTTCATATCCCTTTTTGTTCTTTCAATTTTGAATCTTTTAGAGAACTGATTAGCCAAAACATTTTTCTTCATCCTCCCTTTGCTCTTCTTCCACCAAACTTCATTCTCCCTTGCAAATGGGGTTGCAAAATTCAGAGTTGCAGAAAAAGCTTCCATTAACGTTCCAGTCAACAAGAATCTACCACTCTAGCTCCAAGGTTATAGCTTATAACCGTTATTATAATATCGAGAAAATTAGTGCAAACCTGGGACAATCGACAAACACTATAATAAGCAACCAAGCAAAGTATAATTTTAGAACGGAAATGCATAAAGGGTGATATGGAAGCTAGAATATACATAGAAGAGTAAGGTATAAACAGTGAGAATAAATGAACAAACTTTTCTTCACAATCATGCCAACACATCGAGTACTAGAGTTGTTTGATGAGAATCATTTCTATTAAAAGAGTAGAGCATACGTAGTATAATTACCAATTAAAAAAATATCACTTTTTTGTTCTTGACTTTAGTTGGAGGTAAGTCTCTAGCGGGAAATTTTGCAGCGATGATAATAATATTCTTGGTATATTGCTCGTTTGTTCGCTTTATTAAAAACATGGGGACGTTTACGTGAAAAATGTAATGCCTCTGTAGTTCTTTTTTAATTACAATACACAATTTTAATTGGAATTATATTATATTCAATGGAGTTTGCTACGGTACCTTACATATTTAAGGGTACCAAAAAGTATATAAACCTTCTTTTTTAACTGCTTTCTTTACCCCTCTTCTCACACAGCTCTCTCATCCCCATTCCTCACGCACATTTCTTTCTCTCCCACATCCCTCTTTGTTCGTTCTCTTCTTCCCACCTTTCTCTCTGTTTTTTTATTTTTTCTTTCCAGATATCATGGATGATTTTCTAGCATATTTGATGGTGGATGGAGAAGTGACCAGAAACGATGGAGGTTTGGAAGATACCCCTTACCTGCGACGGATGACGGACAACAGAAATGGAAGAAACGTGGAAGCTCTGAACGTCGAAAATGGGGGAGCTGTGAACGAAGAAGATGGAGTTGCGAACGGAAATGGTGGATCTGTGAATGAGGAAGATAGATGGTGGTCCGAACAACCCTAGGGACGAAGACTTAGGTGGGACGGGTGGCAGACCTGTGACACAAGGCGTCAACGAAGTTCCGATATTTGACGGCCGAGATGATTACAGCTGTGACGGGAAGAGAATAGCAGAGAGAACATGAACACAGATGTTGGAGGTATTTTCTTTGACATACAGACAACTTACATACTCAGTGTCGGTGTGTACCGACAACTAATGTCATTGTGTACAGAGTAGTGTCGGTATGTATAGACAACTAAAGAAATCCTCATTGAGTTGATGCATACCTACAAAGATGAATGTTGTATCTGTGAATGAGTTAATCACTAGTGTTCAATTTACCCTTATTCAACTTTTCTAAGTGGAAAATTTATAGAGGAGTTATTTTTAATGAGTGCATTGACAATAATAAAGTGTTCAAAGTTTGTTTCAGTTTATCACCGTAATGACTTCGTCAATGAGTCATTGTAAACAGATAATACAAACAGATAGAATATATATTTCCTTAATCTCCTAGCCATATCTAAAAGTTACCGATTGGAAGTTACTAAAGGTGTATTCCACCCGAAAGTGATCTTTTTTCTTTCCCTTTGTTTATAGAGAGCAGATGCAATACTTATTTTAGAGGAATGTGGTGACAGAGGTGTGGAGATAAAAATACTTTATGCTAAGTATGAAAAAAATTCAAATGGGTGTGCTTAAAATGTATGTAACTTTCAAGAGTGACGAGGTCATGGAAAGCTATAATTTATCGTTTCTATTTTGTTTGATGTTTGTGAAGAAAGGTATCTTTATGCCAATGTATTTCTTCGTAGCACAAAAGTATATGTTAGGCAGTGAGTAATGGAAAAGAAAGGTGTATTTGATTTATATGTGCGAGAGTATGAATTTTGGTTCCTAGGTCTAGCTAGTTGGCTAACTAGTATTGGTTTCATGACTTGGTAACAATATATAACTTGGTCCGTCAACCCTTAGTTCACCGAAAAAACATTATCTTGTAAAGGTAGGCGCTTTGTTTGAGATGTGATCGCTGAGTGCTTCAAACCATCAATAAAGGAACCCTATTAAAAGGGGAAAAAAAGTCAAGTATTTTTGTTTGGAGAGTTTTTAAAATACCACTACATGCATACTATGTTGTAACAGCCATTCAATGTCTATATTTTAATTTCAATTGTTCTTCCCCACAATGTAAATAAACATCTTAAGTGTTCCATAATTTTGATTCCATTTTTAAAATGGGTGGTAGAATCTCTTCAAGTAATGCTATGTAATTAGCTACATAGCTCCCATACTGAAGACATGAATGATAGAAGCTACCGTTTCCAAAGCACAATGAGAAATTCAAGGACGCTTTGAAGGTAAATAAGAACTCTTTATTTTCTAGTACCTTTTAAATATTTACTTATGATTCAAGACATGTGTGTTTTTATTTGACCATGTTATGACCTTAATCTATAGTCTGATAGTGGTTGCCAAGGTTAAGCATGAAAGTTATGAAATGGAAAGATTACTACTTTTCATTGTGATTTTTGTCTTATACTAAGTTCTTGTTTTGCATATATGCCATAAATTCAACTTCTCGTAATTTTGGAGTCTTAGTTTGTTTTTCCAATAATCTTAAATAAATTTCATTAGTAATATAATTGTACGTATCTTAGTTAGAATTGATAAAGTCATTTGTGTTTCTGCATGTTTGTAAGTGTATGTGAAATAGCATGTAATTGTCTGTGTACACCAACATTAATGTATGTACGCTTCTTATTGCTAACTTTGTCGACACTGGTTGTGGTTACAGTGCTAGAGAGTGTGGAGTCATGGTCATGGCGTTTGCGGAGAATTTGTTGTTGCAATTACCATTAAAATCAGGTTGTGACTACGCCAACATGTGGAACGTTAGATGTCAGTTTGCTATACCACTTTGGCGTCTGAAGAAGAAACTGATTGACATTTATTGTTCCTTTTTCACTTGTAAATAAGTTGGAGATGAAGTGGGGTAGCGAATGTTGAAGTTTTAGATTTGGATTTGAACATGACATTAAGTTTGTTGTAATGTAATTTAACGTGTCTTCAATTTTTATACTTGTGTGATTAAAGACAACTTATATTACTACTCGTGAACTTGGACCGCAAGTCCCAAGCGCAAATGTATGAATTTTATATTTAAATTTGAATGTGACATTGGGTTTGATGTAATGTAAGGATCATGGTTTATGCATTTTGATACTGTTATAGGTGACAGACTTGTTATAACCACACATTAAGTACTTATACAGACACTATTGTCGGTGCACACAGACAAAAATAACAACACACGTATTATTGTCGGTGCACACAGACAATAATAGGAATAAGACACAAGTATTATTGCAGTGCACTTGAACAATAATTACAACAACACAAGTATTATTGTCGGTATACACAGACAATAATAACAACAATACACATATTACTATCGGTGCACACAGACATTAATAATAAACACGCCTATTACTGTCGATGGACATAGACACATTTCATTAACATACAATATGATACCGCAAACACATTCCATTACATAAACTTACAACTGTTTATACAAATAGAGGAAATGTTTACAAAATGTAGATGCATTAAAGTTTGACATTCAAGTTACAACCTTGTACAAAATTTAATGTCATGTTAAAATCTAAATCTAAAACTTCAACATTTGCGATCACCACTTCATCTACAACATGAGGAACATTGACTCGCTTTTTTCCCGGCTCTTACCTAAATAAATGCAACATATGTGTTAGTGCAATTTAAAAGACAACACATTGATATATAGCACAATGAGAAAGATGTAGTTCCGAATCTCAGTTTCATTGGGAATTCATACAATTGTCCTGTTCCTAGATTTTTCGAATTTTAAAAAACCTTAGATAACTACAAACCTGGAAGCCCTTATATTTTATGACATCCTTCAAGCGGAATATCCATTTTCATCAAAGTAAACAATGTCACCTGTGTGAAGCCGACCCTTATTGTCGGTATGCACAGACGATAATAACACGTAAAAATATACAATTGCCGGTGCAAACAGACATTATGCTCTGCAAAAGAATGTATTCATGTTATTCACAAACAACAATACGAAGATCACAAACAAGTCACCTGAATCTCACAGACAATATATGAAACTCACAGACAAGTAATATTAAGGTCACGGAGAACCATATTAACCATATTAATTACTCGTATCGGTACTCAGACAATATAGGAAGCTCCGTATGACACTCTTGACAAAGGGTGTATGACACTCTTGAGAAAGGGTGTTCAAACCAGTATAGGAAGCTCCTTGATCAAGTGGGTGGGTTCCTTCGCCAACAGTCTGATAATTCACACATGTAGTAACGTATCAGTACTCACAGACAATATAAACCGAAGCATTGGTGCACACTGACACTAATAATAAGTAGTAACGTATACATGCTTACGCCATGCAAAATGTCATCCAAATCGTTTTCCCAAACACAAGGCACTGATGGTGTCTCTGGCACATAATGAAGAAGTTACCTGAAAAGATGGGTGGACTTGTACATAAAGATGATATCATGACAGCCATACATGATGCCGTTTATGACTCTCAGTACATTACGACCTTTGAGGAAGATTGGAAAGCCATGATCGAAAGGTACACTCCAATATTCATGAACTAAGTTTCACTTTTTACGTGTCACAGATAGATTATGTATTGCACGGACAAAAAGTATTGGTGTAGTTTATTTCATGAGTAGGACCTTTTGGCACTTAAAGACACCTTAACGACACTTTTTGCATTTCACAGACAAAAAATGTCGGTATACCTTATTTCATGCCTGGGACCTTCTGCCACTTACAGACACCATACCGACACTTTGCGAATTTCACAGACAGAAAGTGTCGGTGTACCTTATTTCATGCCTGGGACCTTCTGCCACTTAAAGACACCACACCGACACTTTGTGAATTTCACAGAAAGAAAGTGTCAGTGTATCTTATTTCATGCCTGGGACCTTCTGCCACTTACAGACACCATACAGACACTTTGTGAATTTCACAGACAGAAAGTGTCGGTGTACCTTATTTCATGCCTGGGACCTTCTGCCACTTAAAGACACCACACCGACACTTTGTGAATTTCACAGAAAGAAAGTGTCAGTGTACCTTATTTCATGCCTGGGACCTTCTGCCACTTAAAGACACCGTACCGACACTTTGTGAATTTCACAAACAGAAAGTGTCGGTATATTCTCGTACGCCCAAACCTATACAAATGGAAAAAAGGGTGATAAATATTTGTTATTAAATATAGTAAGT